CTTATGCATCAGGTTTTTGTTCAAAAGTTTGCAGAAAAGGGGAGAATTTTGGCTACCACAATCATCGACCTAGTGTCGTTGATTGAGAGTGCACCACCTGGTACCATGGAGAATGATGTGTTCAAGCAGCTGCAGCTTGCAGCGGGTAGATTATTGGGTCTGGCACAACGTAGAGGTGGTGGAAGCTTAGAAACACCTGAGGGAGGATTTTCTGAGGTGACTTATGATGAAGGTTTCTGGAGCGACCCTGCAAACATAGATCAGTTGATAGCGAATGAACAGGCAGTGCTGGCACGTTCAAAATACAAGAAGATCATGGAGGATATGCCATCGTTCAGTCTGGGGTTCTCGCAATTGGATGGAGAGAATGAGAATGTGAATATTGATGGTGGTGATATGGGTGCTTGCAGAAATACACCTAGAACTCCTGCAGTTCGGGTTGTGAATGAGCCGGAGAGTAACCCAGGGGTTGAAAATGATTTCATAACACCTGGAGAAGTGCAATGTCATGAGGGAGATGTAATTTTAATTATTGCCGTAGAGTGTTCCTTGGTGTTGTGAAGCATGTTGTTTGGTGTGCCATAACAATTCATATTGGTTATGTTTGTTTTTTGTTTGTTGTTGCAAGCAGTTGATAGGGATTTGGATGGTGGAAGCAGGATTCAGCCGGACATGATTGGTATGACAGCGGTAAGACCGTTTTTCGTAGTGGTGTTGGTGATCTGTGTGTTGCATTTTGTTACGTGGTGATAACACCAATGGTTGATATATGCGTAGGTTGCTGGTGTGAGTGCAGTGGGTGATGGTACTGTGCGAGGAACTGTTACAGAATGTTCAAAAGCAGTGGTAGGAATGATTTTTTCAGTTTTGTCAAAAATTAATTCATGCATGGTAAGGGGTGGTGTGGTTGGATTTTTTGGTAACTTAATGAGAAATATTATTGATATGTGTTAGGTGAGGCCATGCAATGCAGCAAGGAAGTTGGCTAGGACATTAAAACCTGCGAGCCCTTTGAGATCACCCTACCTTACACGACCGATAGATCTTTCCGATGGATTATCTGTCATGGAGAGGAGGGTGACGAATTGGGTGTTGCAGAATCCAAATGCTCCAAAGTAAGTTTTTGTTTTGAAGTCTGCAATTTTGATTGAAAATTATTGGATATGTATGGATTAAAGTTTGAATGATAGATCTTTAATAATCACATATTGTGATGTTTAGGGATGAAGCTGTTTTCGTGAAGGATGGATTGGAGTTGACAAGAGGTGAAATTGCGTCGTTGGATATTGGGAAACATATTTCCAAGAGGGAGATAGATGTGTGGTCAACAATACTGAACCACAATGAGAAATTCAAAAGTGACGAATCCCCGTTGCGTGTGTTCGCTAGGAGCATGGATTGTGTAAGTTGTTATTTTTTCTGTGTGCGTACTTAAGTTTGAATGGGGATTCTCATGATGCTTAGTGTGACATGTTTTGAAATGAAAAGGTTGTAAATGGGAATATAGTAGATGTGTCTGAGGCGAATGTGAAGAACATGTTTGCGAATGCGCTGCTTCCTGCGTGGGATGACATGGCAGATGATTTCAACTGGGGAAAAGCTGAACTGGTAAGAATGTTTATAGTAGACGCAATGTGAAGATTGAAATTAGTTGGATCGTTCTGCGTGGTTTATCAGTAGTTCATTGTGTTTGAGACAAATTGTTAATGTGTGATTTATTGGAATATGTGCAGTTTTTCTTTCCTATTATGCAACAGAACTGGGCATATGTGTTGTGTGTTGACCTAAAAAGCAGACGTTGTGACATCCTGGATAGCTCTTCAACGAAAGCAAAAAACGAAGACAGATATGGCGACATGCCAAAGCGAGTTGTAAGAACTTTGGGTGCATGGTTTTTAAGATAAGGTATATTAATGTGGATGATTTATTAACATGAAATGTTTCAACCAGGTGAGGTTGTTGGGTGATTTTCTTGAGCAGCAGAGGTTCGTTTACAAAGGTAAATGTGTTAGAGAAATGCTTGCTAAGAGAATTACGTTCCCTTGGAGAGATCCGAAGGCTACATTTGACTATGGTGTGGCGACCATGCGTCATATGGAGACGTATATGGGGGATGGTGGCAAGGGATGGAACAGTGGATTGTCGAAGATAAATCAGAAGCCTATGATGTTGCTGCGCTGCAAGTACTGTGCATGTATACTTCTAAGCCCAGTTAATGCACTGTTGGACAAGGTTTATGCAGAGTCAGAGAAACTCGAAAGGGAGAGGAAGGGAAAGGATCCTTAGTGAACCCACCCCTAGAATGGCTGCATCTTATTTTTGTGTGTTTGTTGAATTATTTTTATTAGTTGTTGGTGAAAGTTGGTGACACCATACATTGATGGAAGTGCTATAAGGAAACTAGTTATCAGCCCATAGATTGGTTTATTATTTTTTTTTTTTGTGGATTTGAGGAAATTGTTTTTTGTAGAAGGTGTGACTGGTTATGGTTTTTTGAATGAAGATGTGGTGTTGCCGTTTTTGGTTCTTTTGTGGTTTTTTAAGAATGTGTTTGTCAATACATATTTTTGGAGAGTTGTAAGTGGTTGGATTAAGTGAATATTAAACAAGTTTGCTGTTTTGAGATGTGTGAGCATAGCGATTGATGAAGTGATTGAATTTTTATTTGTTTGAAACAGAGGTTTCAGCATTGTGATATGAACATAGAGAATATCAGCACCAATATATGATGTTATAATAAATCATTTGAATAGTGAAGTACACTAGTTATGGTTGACTAACACCGTATTTGGATCAAGAAATTTGAAGGGAAAGGAAAATGAAACAATAGGCAAAATAATTGTGTGTTGTTTGGTTAGAAAGTAAAAGTTGAAGGAAAAGAAAATGATAAGGCAAAATATATTTATGGAAAGGAAATAAAACCCATCGAATTTTGCGGGGGAAAGGGGGAGATAACCATTTTATTTTGTTTTCCTTCAAAAATCATTCCTCCAAAAGTTTTTTGAATAATACATCCGTTTGATTTGCTTGTGCATTTCTGGGTCTTACTGCCGCATATATTGTCTGGTACATTCCATGATGTACACTATATGCGTTACCATTTATAAACGTTCTACGTACGGGGTTGAGGACGTTTAGTAAACAGAACCTCACTATATATGGTTTTAAAACCTCAATCTAAAACAAACCCATACATGAAATAAATTAAAATATGCTTCATATTCACCTCAATTTATCGATATATTGGTATGAAATCTATTTCATATGTGGAATGCACGACTCTTGTATGAATATTCATTTAAACAGTGTTCACCATTTTGGACACAGCTGATTTATGCAATATAAAATAAATGAAATGCTACATGGATAGGAGAAGGTGATACATTATAGAAAATGAGCATGTTTTAAAGGGAGGTGTGGGATACTAACTGTGCGAATGGGGAATTGGTGTTGAAAATGAGTCATTCAACCATTGGAATTAAATTTATCTATTCAGGAATACAAGAAGTGGTAAAAAAGCAGAGACATATTCATGGAATAAAAATAACAGAACATTTAATAAACAATAAAAGTGAAACAGGAACGCAGACTTATCACTTCTCATGGTTCATAGGACAGTTCCTGCTGTCGTGGAAGCCATATTCTTTGCATGTCCGACACAAGCGTTTGGTTTTTTTTTATTCTTCAATGCTAACTTCCTTACCTCCTTTGATACGCTTACCGCTGCCCTTCGTACTTACTTGGGCAGGAGGTAATACACGAACTTCTGAAGGTGCAGAAGTGCCACAAAAGTTTTCAAACACCGAGGATGTGTCAGATGATAGTTTGCCATCTTGAAGTTTGTCGATTAGGGCCTCCTTGTGCTGATTTATAGTGTTGGAAAAGGCAAGTAGCAAATCAGGGGTGTGTCCACCAAGGCAATACAAAAGTGGATGTCTGACATCAATCGAGAAACGAGAGTCTTATTTTGATCCGTAAATGATACCTTGTCCATTTCTGAGCCACCGACATCGAACATTGGTCTGAGCAAGTGGAATTTGCACCACCGGTTGGTAACATAGAAGTCGGGGATCTTTTCTATTTTCAGGTTTTTGAAAACAACAAAGATGTGCCTGCATAGCAAGCCAATGCGTTCGTAGTTTTTGCAACTGCAATGTGTGGTCCCATCGCGTGCACAGTAGCGGACAGTTGATATCATCCCACTTACATCGCTGATCTGATACTCGGAAGCATCCTCACTGTTTTGGATACATACAATAGCGCATGAAAAGCAGGATGCACAAATCTCTTTTTGCACATCATAAAAGACAGAGAGAGTGAATAACGATGCAGCGTGTTTCTCAATCTTTAATGGGGTTTTGAACACTGGAATTCCCGACTCGGATTCTGAGTTCAAACGAGTAAATTTGAAACGTTGGTCCTCCATTGCACTCTGGAATTGCATTAATAATTCAACTAGGCAAAAGTTGCGGTTGGTGAAATCGTCAAAGAAACTGTTTTCACTCTCTGATCTAGACGTAGTGCGCAAAAGCCCGGCCATAAATAGATCCCTGAAATACGCCGGAATCCAAAACTTACGTAACGTGTATAGAGACTTGAACCACGAATGCTCCGTGAGGTTGTAGTCTGCCATAACACTGCGCCATTGTGCTTTCCATTCTTTTTTGTCCAAGTAATGAGTCCAGACCACCTGATTAATGCGATTCATAAATTCCGTATCCTTGCTTAACACCGGACCAACTTTACCTGATAGTTTGTTCATAATATGCCACATGCAATAGCGATGCTTGGTTTGTGGTAAGACTGCTTCGATTGCAATTCGCAGTGATGGATCTTGATCAGTTATGATGCAGCTTGGAGCATTCCCCATCGCATTCATGAATGATCTCAACAACCATGAATATGACTCAGCATCCTCGCTTGACAGTAAGCCAAAGCCGAATGTCACACACTTTTTATGGTTGTCGACACCAGTGAACAGAGCGAATATCATCATGTACCTACAACAAGTGATAAGGACATGGATAGTGCTATGAATCAACAAAGAGTTGCATGCTATATTGGGATGAGTTGAGATGTGATAAATGGAAATTAATAGATGTATGACCTGTTGGTTTGATATGTGGCATCAAAGGAGACAACATCACCAAACAGGGAGTAGCTTTTCCTGGAAGCAGCGTCACACCAAAATAGCCTGGAAAGCTGGTCGTACTCGTCAACTTCATAATCAAACCGAAATCCAGGGCATACTTCTGATTTTCGGAATAATTTGTCAATGACCATTTGAGCATCTCCACCGGCAATATAGGCCTTCAAATCACGTTTGAAGTTTTTGAAGTCCACAGCAGTAGCACCAACACTTGAATACCCACCAACGGACTCCTTGAAAAGTCGGTATGATTTCATGGTACCAATGTTCGCTTTAGCACAGTTNCTTCGATTGCAATTCGCAGTGATGGATCTTGATCAGTTATGATGCAGCTTGGAGCATTCCCCATCGCATTCATGAATGATCTCAACAACCATGAATATGACTCAGCATCCTCGCTTGACAGTAAGCCAAAGCCGAATGTCACACACTTTTTATGGTTGTCGACACCAGTGAACGGAGCGAATATCATCATGTACCTACAACAAGTGATAAGGACATGGATAGTGTTATGAATCAACAAAGAGTTGCATGCTATATTGGGATGAGTTGAGATGTGATAAATGGAAATTAATAGATGTATGACCTGTTGGTTTGATATGTGGCATCAAAGGAGACAACATCACCAAACAGGGAGTAGCTTTTCCTGGAAGCAGCGTCACACCAAAATAGCCTGGAAAGCTGGTCGTACTCGTGAACTTCATAATCAAACCGAAATCCAGGGCATACTTCTGATTTTCGGAATAATTTGTCAATGACCATTTGAGCATCTCCACCGGCAATATAGGCCTTCAAATCACGTTTGAAGTTTTTGAAGTCCACAGCAGTAGCACCAACACTTGAATACCCACCAACGGACTCCTTGAAAAGTCAGTATGATTTCATGGTACCAATGTTCGCTTTAGCACAATTGAGTATGAACTTTTTATGGCCTAGATCAATGTTCCTGTTGATCTTCAAAAATGGCCTGTAGGGGAGAGAAGTGAGAGGAGGGTTGTGCTGCTCTTCGAATATGCTGAGAATGTAACCATCATGTCCAAGGATGCGAAATGCAACACGTGCCATACAGCCTATACGCTTAGAAATGCGTCTTCTTCTCCCAGGTTTAGATAATGCAGCCCGTCCAATGACATGTGATGCATCATTGTGGGAGATTGTGGGGACATGTTTTTTACCCTCGCGGCTACAAACAACATATTGCCAAACAACGGAGCCCTCTTTCTTTGTAGTGGTAGTCTTGCGCACATCAAACCCCGCCTCAGCAGCATAAGCACGATAGAAACGAATAGCATCATCCAAGTCCTTGAAAACCATGCCGACCTTTGGAATGTAGTTATCAGGGCATTGCGGGACCCAATGACGTTCGGCGTAAGAACTGCTGCCTTCATTTGGCACTTCCTGGAACTTTGTGGGGGTAGCTGTATGAATAAAAGTAAATAATTCAGCACTATTTTAATATTACAGCTGCAACGTGAAGCCATGATACTGAAATAACATACGTAGTAGGAGCATAGGAATATTGCAATTCAATTCAAGGAAATATACCAAAATTTGAGGATGACACCTAAATATTTCATCTTAGGAATGCATTAAAAACTCAGCTTAGGTGTGGAGTTTTAAATTAGTTTTAAACCTCAACGGGTCATTCATATGTGGAAGGAGACTTACAATCGAGTGGAGCAATATAACGGTGTGTGGCACATAACTGTTTTAATATGAAGCAATGTATTTACAGCTTTAGTAGTGAGATTTGGGAAAGGAATGGCTAAATAATTGGTGAGAATTGCATTTGATTTGTGGGACATGTGAGCTAGGATGGTTATAGTGTGCATAGATTTGATGGGAAAATGCATTACTATGTTCTGTGTATGCATTAATTGGCGAAATGCGTCATTCGGAATTGGGATTGGTACTTTGTTCTTAAACCCAGAGTTTCGAAATTCAAACAAGTACAATACTAAATTTTCAATCACAGAAATACTAAATTTTTTCCAAAAAAAAGATAAATCTTTAACTGATAGGAAAAATTACAAAATAAGAGGGTTGAATTCATTCAGAATTGGGATTGGTACTTTGTTCTTAAACCCATAGTTTCGAAATTCACACAATCACTAATTTTTCAATCTCACAAATACTAAATTTTTTCCAAAAAAAAGAGATAATAATTAACTGATACGAAAAATTACAAAATAACAGGGTTGAATTCAAAGGGTACCTGGTTGTGAGTGAAATTCCATCGCGTAATCCTTGTCTCCGTGAACTTCCATAGGTTAAATGAAGGGGGCACGCCGGTAGTTCCTGAGAGTATTACGCCGAAGGGGGCACGCAGACGTATATGCGGAAGAATTGAAGAGGAATCCATACCAATAAATGTCTTCCGGTAACTGAAAATGCGTCGTAACCGGGGCTGAGTGTGCGCGGGGACGTGGGCTAATTTCACGGAGAAGAAGGTGGAACGATAATGCCCAGAGTGGTAAAGTTCTTTTCTACCCCTGCTACGGTTTAGATGGGAAATGACAGATAAAATGGATCCAACGGTTAATATTTATTCTTATTTCTTTCATTAGATCTTTTTCTTATTTGATCCAAAACCTATATATATATATATATATATATATATATATATATATATATATATATATATATATATATATATATATTCTCAACTTATTGTAGAAGTAGTTAGCGTAGTGGCAAAGAAAGAAGTCACTCTAAACTTCTCTACATCTAGTGGTCGAGGCAGACCTTCCATATGAAAAAGCCACAATTTTACACGGTTCCTTTTGATTAATATAACTTCAATTAAATATCGTAAACAGAAACAGATGATTTAATTTGAAACAAAGAGAATAAAGAAAATAGATGTTAAAGAAGAATATTTAGAAATGGATAAACGAATGGATGGGAAGAGAACCATACCCTTGAAGAAGGTAGAAGAAATGCTAGGGGGAGTAGTGAGTGTAAGTTAAGTCCGTCCCCAAGTCATTTTCGAGGATGTTGTATATACCAACGATGCTTCCATTTTAAGTGTTGAATTGAAGACATTCTCATCACAATCTAATGACACAATTATACATAGCATTAATGCATTTTACAAGGAACCCCCCAAGGCACAAGATTTATTTGCAACAGTTGTATGGTTATCTGGTTAAATCCCAGTTGAAAAATACAGAGTATACATAAGTTTTTTGGGGCAAGTAGAAAATGCATTTTACAGGGGAAGATTTGATACTATTAAAACATAGGAATTGTAGAAAATAAAATTAAGATCAGAAAATGAATTGAATGTTCATCATCAAGATGNGAGTAGTGAGTGTAAGTTAAGTCCGTCCCCAAGTCATTTTCGAGGATGTTGTATATACCAACGATGCTTCCATTTTAAGTGTTGAATTGAAGACATTCTCATCACAATCTAATGACACAATTATACATAGCATTAATGCATTTTACAAGGAACCCCCCAAGGCACAAGATTTATTTGCAACAGTTGTATGGTTATCTGGTTAAATCCCAGTTGAAAAATACAGAGTATACATAAGTTTTTTGGGGCAAGTAGAAAATGCATTTTACAGGGGAAGATTTGATACTATTAAAACATAGGAATTGTAGAAAATAAAATTAAGATCAGAAAATGAATTGAATGTTCATCATCAAGATGGTGGTGGAAGAGGAGGAGGAGGAGGAGCTGAGCTTGAAGATGAAGCGCCGGAAAGTAGATCGGCTAAAGTGCTCATGGCTCGGACTTGCATCTCCAGCGCAGCTATATAATCGGTGGCTTCTTCTAGAACCACCGGCAGCGGCTGTTTCCGGCAACCGGGTATAATCCGGCCCAATGCCCGACCCTTCCTCTGTACAGTCGGTAGATTTTTCATTTTCAGCCGGAGAATGCTCAATCTCGGCTTCTTCGGCAGTCGACTACTCCCTCTCGCAGCTACTGCCGCCGCCGCGGCCACGACTCTCTGCCGCTTGTTATTCCTCTTCATGAACTTCAGCTTGAGGCGGTTGGTGAGGATCGCACGGCTCCACCTGGTTCGGCCTTTCGCTGTAACCGCCAAAACTCTGTCCGCCACTTCCCGAACAGCTCTCCCTCCCTTCGGCGCCGTCGCCGTCGCCGGCGGCGGACTTATCCGGAGCGTCCGCAGAGCTCCGAGAAGCCTAGAGGAGTAGACTTGCTGCTGAGATTCCGACTTCCAATCAGCAGCCGAGCTGATACCGTTCGCATCTTGACTCTGCGCGCCGGAAAGAAGACTTCTCTTCTTCTTCCTCCTCCTATTCGCCGCCGCTCTACTCGCCGTGTTCGTAACTGGATTCGAAACAAAAACACTCGACTCCATCGCCGACGATCCGATCGGGTTCCGGCAAACCGCGAGACTCGTGGATCGAACTGTCCAGATCAGGAGTCGGCGAATCAGAAGATCGAGATCTGTGGAACGGATCAGAATCGGCGATTACCGGCTAATCAAATCAAGGATGTATAACAACGATTACACAAAATCAAGGAGCGATTAAGCTTAAGCAGAAACGTGAAGAACAAAATAACGCCGTACCGTGAAGACGAAGAAAGCGAAGAACGGATTTCCAGATGCTTATCCCCCCGTTGATTGATTGCGGTTCACATGTGCAGGGCGCTGAGTCGGAAGGGAATCTGAGCGTTGCGAAAATGCGTTGCGGGCCTTCCTTTATAAATGTGGGAGTGGAGAGAGGGGAAGGCTTATTTATTTATTTTAATTTTTACACATGGGTTTAGCACTGTAGTCTCCCCTCTTTTCCACGTATTCCGGGTCATTCACTGCCTAAATTCATTCACTCCAATCAAAATTCAACCATGCTAGTTGTCATCACTTTGTTATATACTAGGTGCCTGTTTGGGAACAGCGTTAGCGTTTTGAAAAAGCTATCTACGTGCAGCGTTTAGCGTTAGCGTTTTCAAAGCGATCTGCACCGTTAAAATTTTATCCAAAACGCTAACGCTAATCTCTAACGCTATTCCCAAACAGGCCCTAGGAGTTTACACTCTCATGACTTACATTAATATAAAATATTAGCTCAAAATTTTATTAATGAATTTAATTCAAGAAGAAATTTATGGCTTACGAAAAATAATTTCTTGAGGACAACGTTGTCCAATGTTTTTTGAGCTTTTCATTACTAAATAGATCTTCAATACCTCCCACTCCCACTCTGGTCTTCTAAATTTTCTAAATGAAAAACGGTAAGTGGCCCAATTAAACTGGTGGGGCAAAGTTACACCATGATGCTCTTTTAGTAAAAAAAAGGAATTTCCATTTTTTTTAAATTTCTTTTAGCTCATTCTTTTTTTACTCCTAACGATTTAAAAATAGTTATTTTCATATGATGAATATATACAATAACACCATATAAACAAATTTATAGCATGCCACTTCGAGCACAAACAACGATGGATTCTCTTTTATCCAAAATAAGTTTTGTTAAATATATATTTGACTGATCATTTAATTGAATGATTTTTTTAAAAAATTAATTATTTTTTCAAACATTTTCCAAGTTAGTCCAAATTTTCCTAACTCTTTCATATTTATTTCAACTTTAAATTATGTTTTGGATTATTTATTTTAAATTGTTTGAAAATAAGTTGTGTTTGGATGCCAATTCAGTAGCAAATGCAGTTTACTGATCTATGTATTCGGATTATTCGAGTTGTGGTGTTACAATTTCATTTCTCGGGTATGAACTTCATCATGTGATTGATCTGAATGAATATATTATTGTTGAAAAAATGAACAACGTGTTAGACGTTTTTAATAATGCAAATCTAACTTTGTTGCATGTTTATAAGCCTAGGAGTAACATATTTTTTTCTGAGTGTATTACTTTTGCTACATGTTTTTATGAAAGTGTGTCTGACCCAAATTTGTCCCTCTATGTGTGTTCCATATGAAAGAAAAATGGTGTGTTTATTACTTATATATTTCTGATATTTAAAATATTAATATGATTTGTGATCCACGCTTTAAAACTTAGAATTTTGAAATTTTCATGGAGTAATATTATACGGATTAGTCATTTTTAGATGATAATAGTTAATATTATGAGCATTTAAAGTGTATTTCTCATGTAGTATATATTTGAGAATTTATATAAAGAATTTCTAGTTTTGTACGGTAATCCTCTAGAAGAAACACAAGCTCGTCCTGTCCCACAGATTAAGAAATATTTTAAAGGGGGCACTTGGTGGCCTCTCGTGAAGAAAATTAAAGGAGTATCTCTACCTCGATCTATTAGTATAGATAGTACAACAATATGTTCACCCAACGAACTTGTGATGTACTAAGGAGTCCCATGTGATTACGCCGAAGATAACGAAAATGAGTTCGACGACTTTGGATGGTGGAAGTAGAACGAGCATGTGTTTCTGTCATTCGGGAGCTAGCAAGACATGTGCTATTTATACGACGTCAACGGTAGCCGTGAAATAAGAGTTTAGTTGAAGTGCCAACAACTTCTTGAGTTCTCTTAATGCTAAATCAGTGGAGACACTAGTTTGCAAATGAGATTGGCGAGGCGTTGAGCACAAGAGGGAAGTTACGACATGGATACGCAAAACAACATGGACGCAATCGCGGAGGGAAGTGGTAGTTTCGACGAATCACTTACTCATTTTTTTAAAAAAAATTGTAATTAATTTTTTAGATGAGCGATTTATAAGCTCATTTGATGGTTTTTTACGGTTCTTTACCTTATTATTTTTATTGAACCGTCAGGGTAATATATGCAGTTAAGTCTAATTTTAATTATTTAAATAACAACAACATTAGATAAACTTTTTTTAGCATATACTCCGTATCATATTTAAATTACAAACCAAAAAAATTAAGACCAAAATCCGGACCAGAACCGAAACCGTCAGTGACGGGTGACTATTACGGGGGAGAGCCTTGGCGGTACGAGAGTCGCTCGTTTCTGAACCAGACCCAAACTGTAACGTGTCCTCTAAAATTCAGATTAAGATTAAACTATGATTTATTTCACTCACAATCCTTCGGGTCGGGAAATATGGGCACCCGAGTTGAATGTTCCACTTTTTTGTAAAATGTTATTTAATCCACAATAACCTTACTAGCATCACTCCCGTGCGTTGCACGGGTCATACTTATAATACTAAATTAAGATCATTTTTAAAGGATATTGGATTACAATTTCTTATCTAATACTTCCTCCGTCTCTGAAACATCTTCCCCTTTCATTTTTTCTTTGTCCCACAAACTCCTTCCTTTTTCTATTAAAAAACTACTTTTACCCCTTACTTTTTCATATCCTACCTATCACATCATATTTTTTTACTAATAATCTATCTATCACATCTTAGTTTTTCTCAATCACATCAAGTGTATTTTTGGAAAGTCAACACCAAAATATCCCTTCCTTAAGTTTCCAAAAAGTCAATAAGGGAACTTCTTTCGGGACAGAGGGAGTAGAATATAAAGATTTTATTATTTTAAGGTACAAAAGTTAATTGTTTTACAAATAACGAAAGACTTCTTTATAAACTACATTACTCGTATAATTTTTATATATCAAACTTTAAAACATTTATTTATTTAAAGACTTCTTCATGATTTTCTACTTCGAAAGCATGAATCTTATTTAAGAACTCAAGAGAGTGTAAGTCATTCAAAAAATTTGAAAGAGGCTAATTACGAAAAGTGATTGAGAATGACTGTATTTAAGGTATGAAAAAATTAAAGTATTTTTCTATTTCCATGCATCTAATTTTTTACGGGTAAATTATTAATTAGTGGTTGATTGTTCAACATATAAAGGTATATAT